GACGAGCAACGGACCCACGGGCGACTGGCACAGCTGGCTACGACTGGGCTACCGGAGCAGCGCCCCGGACTACTGGTGCTGCTGACGACACGATGACAACCTCCGTTCAACCAACCTCCTCCAGCTGCCCCACACCTCTCGACACACACCCCCTGCTCAAACCCTAGCTCCACTCCCATAGCACCCCCCTTACACCTTAAACCGCAGGCTCACACACATCCACCTCCCTCAAAACCCTAGCTCCACTCCCACAGCACCCCCCTTAAACCCTAAACCCCAGGCTCCCACACATCCACCCCCCTCAGCGACAGCTGCAGCAGTGGGAGACGAAAGAGGAGGAGGAGGAGCAGGGGAGACCACACACCCGTCACCCCCTACTCGCCACCCCCAGACCCTAACACAAGGCAGGGCGGGACGGTGGGTAGGGAGGTTGAGGGGGGGGGGGGGGGGGGGGGGACGCGCGGTCTCCCAGGGCGCCAAAACAGGCGGCAGAAGGGGCGACGCTCGCCCCCCTCCCGCGGCCCCCAAGGGTCGCCTCGACCGGCGACGGGAAAAAGGGGGGGGGGGGGGGGGAGGGGGGGGGGGGGCGGTGCACGTGCCCCCGGTGCGCCGCGACTGGTGACGCAGCATGGCCGGCGACGGGGCCGCAAGTGGCGGCGACGGGGCCGCTGGAGGCGGCGACGGGGCCGATAGGGGCGGCGACGGGGCCGCTAGGGTCGGCGACAGGGCCGCTGGCGGCGAAGGGGCCGCTAGGGTCGGCGACGGGGCCGTTGGCAGCGGCGACGGGGCCGATAGGGGCGGCGAAGGGGCCGCTCGCGGCGGCGACGGGGCCGATAGGGGCGGCGACGGGGCCGCGAAGGGGCCGCGAGGGGCCTGGAAGGGCGGCGACGGGCCGCGAAGGGGCCGCGAGGGGCCTGGAAGGGCGGCGACGGGCCGCGAAGGGGCCGCGAGGGGCCTGAAAGGGGCGGCAACGGGGCCGCGAAGGGGCTTGGAAGGGCGGCAACGGGGCCGCTAAGAGTAGCGCGAGGGGCACGCCACGGGGCGTGCCGAACACAGAGTAGCAGTGGAAGCAATTAGGTGGGCCCACATGCCAGGAGCGTAGATGCTCTGATAGCATGTGAAATTGAACGAGAATGAAGAAGAGAGAGGGGTGTTCACTAGCAAGCAGTTGAGTACATATAGGAAACCCTAAGTTGGGCTGTACTCACTATTGAGTACCCCACTGCAGGCTAGACAAACACAACATTCTGACACTGCTTCATTTGAAGAGTTGGTGGTGACAGCAGATGAAGTTGAACCTGTTGTGAAATTGAACGAGAATGAATGAACTATGAAACAATTGGGTACAAGTACTAACCCTAATTGGGTTGTACCCCTTAGGGGCTACCCCACTACAGCCTACACAAAAGTATAAGCTATAATGTTCTGACACACCCCCATAGGCAAAGTGGGGAGAACAAGGGGTCACAAGACCAGTCAAGCAAAGCAAAGCAAAGCAAGCTCAGGGTGGATCACAAAGTCACCACACATTCCGAGCACAAGTTCAAGGCCAAAAGGCCAGTTCACATGCAGGAGTACATATATATAAAAGGCTAGACAAGCAAGAGCAGGTGTATATACATATGTAACAGTACAAGCAAGGTCAAGAGGTGAGCAAGTGAGGCAAGGCAGGCACAAGACCCAGCTGAGTACAGAAGCGCTGATGATCACAAGGCGCAAGTGCCTTGGTGAAGATATCAGCAGTGTTGGCCTGAGAGGCCACGTACGCAAGACGCAGCTGACCACGAATCTGTAGCTCACGAGCAAGGAAGTAGCGAAGAGCAATGTGCTTCGTTCTGTGCTCCAGTCTCTGCTCCCGACACAAGGCCAGCATGGCCTTGTTGTCTACGTACAGCACTGGAGGAGAACGAGGCGGCTCTCCGAGGTCAGTCAGCAGGTAGGTGAGCCAGCGAAGCTCCTGTGCAGCCATGGCCCCGGCGTAGATCTCAGCCTCACAACTGGAGCTGAGAACAGAAGACGAGCGAGTAGCCTGCCACGAAACAGAGCCGGAACCAAGGCTGAAGGTGTAACCCTGTGACGACCGCTGCGTAGCCTGGCCGTCAGCCCAAGAAGCGTCTGCGTGCCCAGTGAGGACCACTGGACTCTGCCCTCCAAGCACTAGCCCCATGCCCGACGTACTGCACAAGTAGCGCAACACCCTCTTCGCTGCAGCCATGTGCTCCGGTCTGTGTTTCCCAGGAGCAACATAGCGTGCGAGAATGCTAAGAGGGTATGCAAGGTCAGGTCGTGTGCAGGTCATCAGGTACATGAGGCAGCCAACAAGCTCTGGGTACGGGCCACTCGACTCTACGGACTCATCCGAAGGCAGAGCTGAGAGCGAGTGGTGAGTAGGTAGAGGAGTGGCCTGAGGCAAGGAGTACGTGAAGCCGAAGCGCTGAAGGACCTGCTGCACCATGTGTGACTGAGTCAGGGTAATGGTGCGGCGTGCGCTGTCCCGGGTGATCTGCAAGCCAAGGTAGCTACGCAGTTCACCCAGGTCTGTGCACGTGTGTCTCTTCTGCAGCTCGGACTTCACGTGGGCGAGTCCAGCAGTGTCAGCTGTGGCAAAGACCAAGTCGTCGACGTACACGAGGATGTAGAACGACGGCAAAGAAGTGTCGGTGCGTAGAAACAGCGACGGGTCGGCAGTAGAGGGAGCAAACCCAAGAGCCGCAAGTGTAGTCCTTAGTGTGTCGTGCCACTCACGCGGTGCCTGGCGGAGACCGTAGACTGGCCGCCGGAGGCTCCACTGGGTGCCAGGAGGAAAAGACCCACTGAAACCAGGTGGGCGACGTAGCCAGATCTCCTCGTGCAGGCTGCCCTGCAAGAAAGCAGTGCTGAAGTCAAGAGAGTGCAGCTCGTAGTCACGGTGAGCAGCTATGTGCAGCAGTACCCGAAGAGTGGTCATCTTTGGGGTGGGAGAGAAGGTGTGAAAGTAGTCAACTCCCTGCCGCTGACTGAAGCCACGAGCCACGTAACGCGCCTTGAAGACAGGCGGAGAACCCGGCGGCCGCTTCACCCAGATAATCCACATGCCACTGACGATGTTCACCCCTGGCGGGGGAACCTCGTCAACGTAGGTGCCTGTGGACTTCCAGGAAGCCATCTTTGCGTCCATAGCTGCCTGCCACTGAGAGGAGTAGGGACCCTCTATCGCCTCCGCGTAAGAGCGCGGAGTCGGGATGTCAAGTGCATCCGGGTCTTGCTCAGGGGTAAGCAGTACGGACATGAGATGAGGTGAAGCAGCAGCCAAACACTGGAACTCCTCCTGCTTGTCCTCAAGGACGTCCGTGCCAAGGGCACACTCTGCGGTAGTTGGGGGTCTCCTGGTACAGCACCTCCAGGCCGGTTGCCACGGCCACCTCCCGCACGCCCTCCGCATGCATCGCCTCCTCCTCCTCCTCTAGAACCCGACCGAGCAGGCGCGTGTTGTCGCCTGTGGTCCCCCCGAGAGACATGTCCGCGGAGACATCGGTGGTGCTCCTGGCGCGCAGGTGAGACATCACCAGGTGGTTCTCTGTTCCGTCTAGCTTGCTCGAGATCCCACAGTGGCGGAACGCGTCGATGATGATCTGCTTGGGGACTTGATCCCAAGCCTCCGCGATCCACTGCAGCACCACGGGGTGCGGAGGCCTCCGCAGGTTCCCTGTGGGTGGGACAGAGGACGGGGCAGCGAGATGTAAGAGACACGAATATGAAGGAGCATGTTTAAGACAAGGACACGAAACAGAACATGAATAAAACCGTAAATGAAGGACCAACTCACCCTTCTTCGTCTTCAGGTGAATCCCTTCACGCATGAACCACCTGGCGTAGCGCGCTCGCACAGCAGCCTTGAAGCACCGGTTGATGGAGACGTCCAGGGGTTGAATCTGGCTCGTACAACCCGCTGGGATGACTGCAGGGGTGATGCTGTGCGTGCGGTACGACTGAAGCATGGTCTGGGTGATGTGATCGCGGTAGGAGTCCAACACCAACATCGCCCGCCTTGCGTTCTGGCCGCGCTGGGGGTTCAGATGGGGCAGCACCTCCTTGGACAGCCAGGTCTGCACAGCGGTCTCGTCCATCCACCCGTTGTCCTGTGCTTGGACCACGATTCCTGCCAGGCACACAAGGGACAGACGGGCATCAGCACAGTGGGGCACGCTCATCAGGCAGTCGCACGGTTGAATTCACGCTCGCTTACCTTCCGGAATCTCACAGTTGGGGACGTTCTTCATCTTGAACCACACCCACGGCCGCAGCTTCTCCCCGGATGCAGTGCACGCGAGCATCACCGTCAAGCGCGTCTTCAGGTAGCCTGCAGTGCGGATTGGGACCGAGCGCGCGCCACGGTGCTCGATCGTCCGTTCGGCTGGCATCTCCACGAATAGTGGAGTCTGGTCCACGTTGATGATGCGGGCCAGGTCGATTTTGTGCCGCGCCCTGTTGATGCGCACAAACTTTCAGAAGGACTCGCAGTCCTTCGCGCACTCTGCAAACGGGACAAGCGCAACGGAAGCACGGGATGGTTAGACACTGGGTGAGGTACATGCATTCAATAGAGTGTCAGAATAATATATAAATCTATATATTGTTTTGTAACTGCCTGTAGTGTAGACTACTGTAGTTATACAATATTCTGTTTGGTGGTGCACCTTTATTTTTGCTTATATGTACTGCTCGCTCTATAGTGAAACTCCTCTCTTCTCTTTTCAACTTTCTCGACTCTCCTAACTCAACTACTCGAACTCAACCAAGACTCCTAAGTTATGGCTCCTAAGCCTAACTCTTACTAGTACTTTTCAACATGTTATCAGAGCGTGTTCCGCTCCTGGACTCCTGCTTCCGCTGCTACTGAGTGTACTGCACGCCCCGTGGTGTGCCCTACTGTCGCGGCCTCGCCGCCCTTCTTAAGCGGCCCCGCCGCCCTACTGTCGCGGCCTCGCCGCCTCTCTACTGTCGCGGCCCCGCCGCCCTACACTGCGGCCTCGCCGCCCTACTCCTGCGGCCCCGTCGCCGCCCGTCCCGGCCCGTCGCCGCCCGTACCAGCCCGTCGCCGCTCTTCGCGGCGTCACGTGCCGCCCGTACGACGCGCCGCCGTCCGCTGCGGCCCCGTCGCCGCCCGTACCGGCCCGTCGCCGCCCGTACCAGCCCGTCGCCGCTCTTCGCGGCGTCACGTGCCGCCCGTACGACGCGCCGCCATCCGCTGCGGCCCCCTCGCCGCCCGTACCGGCCCGTCGCCGCCCGTCCCGGCCCGTCGCCGCCCGTGCGGTACCCGCCCCAGGCCCCGATGCCACCTGCGGCCCCGCCCTCTTGCGGCCCCGACCCCGCCTCGGCCATGCCTTGTCGCCAGCCGCGGCACACCGGGGGCACGTGCACCGCCCCCCCCCCTTTTCCCGTCACCCGTCGCGGCTCCTTCGGGGGCCGCGACCTGGAAGGGGGGGGCAGGCGTCGCCCCCTCTGCCGCCTGCTTTGGCGCCCGGGGAGGCCGTGCGTCGGCACCCCCCCTCCCTACCCCCCCTCTTCTCCTCCTTCTTTTGTTCCCTCTGCTGCAGCTGCCGCTGGGGGGGAGGGTGTGAGAGTGTGGGGGAGCCCGGGGAGGGACTGGGGGTGGCGGGTGTGGGGGTGATGGGTAATGTCTGGTCCCCTGGCCCTACGGCCCCATTCTCCTCCGTTTGCCCCCCCCCCCCCCCCCCCCTCTGCTGCTCCTGCAGCAGTGTGAGGGGGATGGGGAGAGGGAGGGGGAGGATGAGGGGATGTAGGTGGTGACCAACCAGAGCCTATCACCTCCTCTCCTCTCTCTCCCTCTCTCTCTCTCTCCCTCTCTCCTCCTCCTTGCCTGCCCTCTCCCGTACTACTACGCACTCTTGGTGTACCCCTTTATGAGGGCGTTGACTGCATATTCTTCCCTACACGCACTTATGGGGGCGTGTCAGAATAATATATAAATCTATATATTGTTTTGTAACTGCCTGTAGTGTAGACTACTGTAGTTATACAATATTTTGTTTGGTGGTGCACCTTTATTTTTGCCTATATGTACTGCTCGCTCTATAGTGAAACTCCTCTCTTCTCTTTTCAACTTTCTCGACTCTCCTAACTCAACTACTCGAACTCAACCAAGACTCCTAAGTTATGGCTCCTAAGCCTAACTCTTACTAGTACTTTTCAACATAGAGCGCCAGACGAAATCCTTCAACACGCACCTGCCGACAGACGTTGGCCGACCTTGGTCTTCACCCGCATCACCAGGTTCCAGCGGTCACGGAAACGCTGGCTCCAGTGAGAGCTCGCATTCCAGTTCTTGTTGGGGTAATGCTTCTTCATCCACTCGCGGCTCCACTTCTGGGTGTCCTTCACCGAGATGGCCACCCCGTTAGCGCGCTGAAGGCAGATGTAGCGGTACAACGCTGCCTCCATGTCGGGGTAGTGTGAGTGGCGCCCCCCCCCGTGCATCCGCTTGCGGCAGTTGGCCGCGCCCTTGTAGACGCCCGCTTCCGCCTCCGCACACCAGCGTCTGATGCAGGCGATGGATGCGGTTGACTCCACGCTCGTCTTCTTCAAGGAGCCGAGCTCTTGATAGCGGCGCGCCCACTTAAGCTTCTCACGCACGGTCCAACTGCGGCGCTTCTTCGTAGTGTCTTTGCTGCGAGGGGAAGGTGGGCGGGTGTTGGGATTATGGAGGGTGGGGTCCCTCGGCGTTACCTTCTCAGGGAACGTGGGAATCGGGCCCGCCGCCGCCGCGTACTCATCGTCGCTGCCCAGCGGCTCGTTCACGACGATGTCGTCAGGATTCAGCGCCTTCTTCGCCTTCTTCTTAGCCGCACCCTTGCTGGATCCCGGGTCTCCGCCGGATGTCAGCTTCTTGTTGCTTGTGCGGCGACGAGCAGGGGCTTTAGCAGGGGCCTTAGCAGGGGCTTCCGCGACCTTGGCTTTCCCCTTCTCCGCAGCGGTGAGTATCGGGCGACGCTCCTCCTCCGGACCGTCGTCGTCAGAGAGCACCACGCGGGCCCGCTTTGACTTGGACTGTAGGCGATGGCGCAGCCTCCGCTTCAGTAGCGGGACGTCGTCGTCGGTCCCAAAGCTCCATGGGTCGTCGTCGCCGCCTTCGCAACTGCGGCCGCATCCGCAGGCGCAAATGTCTCAAGTTCCGCCCCTGCCTCGTCGTCAGCCTCCTCATTCGCATCCACCGCCGCTTCCTGTGCATCCGCCGCTACCTCCGCGTTGTTACCATGCGCATCTTTACCTCCGTCGTTGTCGGAATCACCAGCATGCCACTCTTCCACCTCGTCGTCGCTCCCGACCGGCCGATTCCACCAGTCGTCCTCCTCGATGTCAGCAGGACCTACATCGTCGCCTGAAGCGCTGTCGTCGTGGCCGTTCTCCGGCCAATCCTCCTCGGCGTCGTCGCCGTTCGCTTCGTCTCCGTCGTCCCCGTCACAGCTCGCACCGGAGGCGGCAGTACGACTTGCCGCCTTGCTCGCGTTCTTCGCCATGGCTACACGGATGTCATCGCCGGGCGAGTTAATTCGCCCGTAGTTATTAACCTGCACGTGAGGACGAGGTGAGGACTTGCCTATTGGTACTTTGCTGCGCATGGTTAGAGAGTCTGCCGAGAGCAAGGTTGAGACGAGTATTCAACCTCCTTGAGCACGAAATGAAGTGAGAGCCCGACTACCCCCCCCAGCCAGAGTGCCCCATCCACAGGTGCCGAGCCGCTCCTCTACGAGGCATCTCCTCGTAGAGGACAGCCCTCACGCTACCAACGTGCTGCCAGCAGCGTTCTGGAAGCATCCATGCGCTCCTGGCAGCAAAACGACGCTGGCAGCATCATTAGATGCTGCCAGCACAGAGGAATGTTGCAAGCGGTGGCAGCTCCCTCACGTGGAAAGTGTGGGCGCTGCATGCATCACCACCGAGGTCGGCCTGTTTAAATGAAATTGGTCTCTGGGTGGTTTCTACACACTTTGCAAGTGTTACAGTCAACTTATTTTTTTTTCCATTTATAAGACTTATAAGACACCCTAAACCATCCCGTTTACAAGATAACTCAAGCATTTTTGCCCGTGTACGAGATAAGACATATATGTCTAATATCCGGGCGATGACGGTACGGATGAATTAACATCACATATACGAACAAGACTGCAATCAAGTCTCAGCTGCAATCAAGACTGATTCACATGTAAGCCTTGGGATCCAGGGTCTTGAGGTCCACCTGGATGTCCTCCAAGCCGTCCCTGGGAAATGGGATCCAAAAACACAGGGTAAATAGGCAAATTACATCAAAAAATATAAATAACACCTTCAGGGTATTTGCATTGTGGTCCATGTCAGCATCCTTCAAGACCTTCCCAGGTGATCGACAGTGATTCAGAAGTGAGAAACACACAGAAACGCAAAAACCCCTTCCGAACAGTGCACTTGGTTAAGAACTAGTTGTAACAAAAAAAATGTGCAACAAAATGGTGCAGACCGGAAGGCCTGCGAGCAAGCAGACTAAGAGATACATTCCCGAGTCCCTGCTCGCAATAACCCCTTTGGTGCCTCCTTGCTCACCCCAACCTCGCTCAACAGGTTCAAGGGGTCACGCACCTCTTCTGGTACGTGCCAATATTCTCCACCGCCTCGCTAGCAAAGGCACCAATGTCAGCCTTGGCCATTTTTTCCAATAATTCTCAGGAACAGCACCAGAACCCCACCCGCCTCTTCTGGTACGTGCCAATCTTTTGTGCTGCCACGCTGGCAAAGGCAGCGATGTCCATCTTGGCCATTTTTTGTAGGCCGTTTCTGAGAATTCTCAATAAGAACCCGAGCGACAACCACCCACCTCTTCTGGTACGTGCCAATCTTCTGCGTTGCCTCGCTGGCAAAGGCAGCAATGTCAGTCTTGGCCATGCTCGTCTCCAGCTGCTGCTCCAACGGCTCCAAGTCGCCGTCCTTCAACCCCAGCCTGGGGGGGGGGGGGGGGGGAGAGAAGGGAAAGTTGGATGGCGGAAAGAGGTGGTAGAAGGGGCTAGTCAAGGGGAAGGCAGTGACGTCAGTCTTGGCCATGCTGGTCCCCAGCTGCTGCTCCAACGGCTCCAAGTCGCCGTCCTTCAACCCCAGCCTGGTACCGACAGGGAGCGGCGGGGATGACAGTGCCAAACAGGGAAGAGCAGGGAGACGGGAGAGCAGGGACAGGGGAGCGCAGCGAAATTCAGATGGCAGAAAGAGGGGGTTACACAGGGCTACTCCAGGGGCAGGCAGCGCTATTCGTCTTGGCCATGCTCATTTCCAGCTGGTTCTCCGGTGCTTCCAGATTACTGTCTCTCAGCCCCAGCCACAACCTGGCTGGCTGTGTGCGTGAACACACACACACACTCAACAAAACACCCTGTAAGAACTCCCTATGCATGCGCACACCAGAAAATCCAGTCAGATTTCTTGTATGCAAGATGTGAACACCCTCATTTCTTGTTGAGGGCGTTCACCTTCTCTTCTGCAGCATCGCCAGCACTTAAACTTTGTTTCCCGCAGAGGAGGTAAGAAACAGTTGCATGTCATGGCTTGAACCAAATAAACCATGGCCATCATTCCAAATTATTTTGGGAAATGCTTCAGGGTGATGGCGCTGACAAGAAAACAGACAAAAAAAACATACACACATACAAGCACACACTATACTTGTTGCCAACAGAACTCACTTCTTGTTGATGGCGTTCACCTCGTCCTGAAACATCGCCATGCCCTTCACGTCATCCATCCCCCACCAGCGCCTTCCCCAGCTTCTTCTCCCTTCTGGTTGCATGCACACTCCGAAAGGCCATTCAAACCACTCACTTCTTGTTAATAGCATTGACCTCCTCCTGAAACATCGCCATGCCCTTCACATCATCCCCCACCAGCGCCTTCCCCAGCTTCTTCTCAACGCTGTCAAGTGCTGCAAACATGAGCTTCTCCGCGCCCAGCTTGTCCTCCACTCCCAGCCTGGGCGCACAGGGGTGGTTTGGGACAAGGGAGGACGGGGTGACGGGGTTGTAAGGGTGGAGGGGAAAGCGCTCCCCCTTCCCCACCTTCCCAAGCTTCTTCTCGACGCTGTCCAGCTTCTCCGCGCCCAGCTTGTCCTCCACTCCTAGCCTAGGTGCACAGAAAGGTGACTTTTGAGTCGACTCAAAAGTATCCTAGCCTGGGTGCAGAGAAAGGTGTGTGATGGGGTGGAAAGAGGTGGTATGGGGTGGGATGGGGTGGGATGGGTGGGATTGGGTGGGTGGCACCGTGGGACATCAACCAATGTGAGCAAATCCAAGCATAGAAGCACACCCTTGATGCAGGAAACTTCAAGGAATCTGAGCACGCATTGCAACCCTCTCTCACTCCCAGCTGCATTCCTAAATGCTACCTCGTTACAAGATGCCTGCTTCATTACAGGGTACATCATTGAAAAGGGTCTGGTTATACAGTGCCACGTTAGCAAGAACCACAGCAATCCACTCACTGCCTGCGGATGATGCGAGATTCTTCCAGGAAGCTGCGCACGTCCCGCGAGTCCTCCTCTGCTGACTCGAGCAGGTTGGAGAGCTTCTCAGAGAAGGAGGGAATGCCCAGGCTGAGAAGAGGGGGGTCGGGAGGGGTGAGGAGGGATGGGGAGGGGTGGGGATCATAAGGACAGGGGGACCAGAAAAGGGGTGCGAGAGAGCCCTCTTCTGCTGACTCGAGCAGGTTGGAGAGCTTCTCAGAGAAGGACGGGATGCCAAGGCTGGGATGAGGTAGGATGCCCAGGGGAGGGTTGGGGGGGGGGTGGGAAGGGGTGGGGATGGGAGGGGACGAGAGGGACGGGGGTCCAACAGCATGCCAGAGTCCTCCTCTGCTGACTCGCGCAGCTTGGAGAGCTTCTCCGACAAGGACGGGATGCCCAGGCTGAGAAGAGGGGGGTCGGGAGGGAGGGGTGACGCGGGGTGGGGAGGGGCGGGGAAGGAAGGGGAGGGGTTGAAAAGGGTGGGGATGAGTGGGGGGGGGCGCCCGAGGAGCAGGAAGGAGTCCTCTGCTGACTAGAGCAGGTTGGCAAGCGTATCGGTGAATGAGGGGATGCCCAGGCTGGGATGAGCGGGGGTGCAAGGGGTGGGGTGGGGAGGGGTGGGAGGGGGCGGGGAAGGGAAGGGAGGGGTTCAAAGGGGTGGGGGTGAGAGGACGGGGGGATCGACAGAGGAGCAAGGTAGAGTCCTCTGCTGACTAGAGCAGGTTGGCGAGCGTGTTGGTAAATGAGGGGATACCCAGGCTGGGATGAGGGAGGGAGGGAGGGAGGGGAGAAGACGGATCACAGGAGTGCTAGAATATGGGCAACAGGGGGAATGGCAGAGGCGCATGGCAGATCCCTCTTCTGCTCACTTGAACAGGTTGGAGAGCTTTTTGGTGAATGAGGGGATGCCCAGGATGGGATGATGGGGCCGCGGAGATGATGAGGTGGGGGGAGGGAACGGAGGAGGAAGAGGAGGAGGAAGAGGAAGCGGGAGGGGGGGGATGAGGGAGGCTGAGGGATGAAGTGAGTTCAAACTCACCTCTCGCAGATGTCCTTCACGGCTGCAGCGTAGGCCTTGGTGGCCTTGTCGTCAGCAGCGTATTGAGCTGAACTGGTATTGAGGTACCTCGCCGCTCAGGACCGTGTCGCACCTCTCAGGACTGTGACTCACCTCTCGCGGATGTTCTTCACGGCTGCAGCATACGCCTTGGTGGCCTTGTCGTCAGCAGCGTCCATGGGGATGGAAACCTTCTTGAGACCTTCCAGGTACGACCGGAAGGATGCCTGCTGCTTGATAAACGCCGCCTTCACCACATCCTCTGGTGGTGGTTTGGGGAGGGAAAGAAGGGGGAGGTTGGGGATGGAAGGGGGAAAGAAAGACCCATTGCACCTTCCAGATACGACCGGAACGACGCCTGCTGCTTGATGTACGCCGCTTTCACCACATCCTCTGCCATTTCGGAGGCAAAAGAGGAGGGAGTGAATGTGTGGGAAGGGGGAAGGATGTTGAGGGGGAGGGGGAAGGGATAATTGCCGCCTTCAGAACATCCTCTAGGGAGTGGGGGGGAAGGAGTGGGGTGAGTGTGACAGATGATGCGGACGAGGGATGGGGAATGGGAATGGAGAGTGGGGGATGGGAGATGTGAAGCGGGGAGAAGCAGGGTATGCAAAGAGAAGCACCATCACCCATTCATCTAGGTTGTTTGTAGAAAGCGTCTGAACGACCCGTCTGCTGCTTGAAGAGGCACCATCACCCGTCGCAGAAACCCGTCGCACACACCCGTCGCACACACCCGTCGCACACACCCGTCGCACAAACCCGTCGCACACACCCGTCGCACACACCCGTCGCACACACCCGTCGCACAAACCTGTCGCACACAACCGTCGCACACAACCGTCGCTATCACCTGGCAAACGCACCTGTCGCCCACGCTCCTCCTAGCGCGTACGTACCTTCAGCGGGAGCGGCAGTTGCGAATCCGCGGGCGACATCCCCCGCAAGTACAGCGGATGCGGGCGCAACGGGGGCGAGCCTTGCGGACACCGCCCTGCCCTGTTGCGCGGACACGGGGAAGAGGGGAAGGCGAACGGGATGGAACGGGGGGAGGTGTGGAGGGAGGAGCGAGGGGAGGAGTAAGGAGAGGAGTGAGGGGAGGAGTTGGGGGGAGATTTGGAAGAGAGAATGGGGAAGGGACGGGGGGAAAATAGGGGGGAGTATGGGGGAAAGGGAGTGGGGGGTGGAGGGAGAGGGGGCGCGGCGTGTGAATCAGGATGGGGATCGAAGGATCGGGAAAGAAAGGGAGAGGAGCGGATGAGAAGAGCTATAGTCTCGTTCTCCAGCTCACGAACAGCTCTGGCTTCCTCGGAAACTCGGCTTTCGAGTCGTCTCTAACCACCCGTCTGTAACCCTACAAACCGATTGTTTAGGCGTCTCGAAAATCGGCTCACAGACGCAGCTGGCTTCAAAGGAACTTGGCCGTCAGCTTACAACACAAACGAGTGGCTCACAAACGAGTGGCTCACAAACGAGTGGCTGTGTTTTCAACGCAAGTGTAACCACTCGTTCGTCATCCTACAGATCGCATCCGAGCAGAGGATCATGGCAGCAACACGGCACGAACATGTTAACCTAAACGAGGCCTAGTTTCGAGACGTCTCAGCACTCGATCGCATGCGGACAAAGCACCATCTAGGAGTATTGACCCGACTCGAAGCGTCGAGGCGCGACAAACTCGAGGCATCTCAAACTCGATCCCGGTCGAACCGAAGCGCGGCAACGCACCACGCGCAGTGTAATCTACACCACAAAGGAAGCATATGTCTCTTAGGCGGCGACAATATGTCTCTTAGGTAGCAGTGTACTCGCTGAGAGCGACGTACGGCGAGCGCGAGGAGGCGGGAGCTGGAGCGAGCAGCCATCGGTGACGACTCGATACAGGAGCGATCGGCGGGACGGAAGTAGCGCGTGAGTGCACGGCGAGCGGAAGCGGAGCGGAACGGCGAGAGCGGAAAGTGGGGGATCCGGCGGAACGGATGAGGGGGAGCGTACGATCGGAGGCCGCGACTCGCGAGGGCAAAGGCCTGCAGTAAGAGGTGTGCGATGGTGATGGCGCAGGTGGGTTGTGTGTTGCTCGCCTAGAGGAACCGAGGGAGGAAGCAGGGGAAGGAAAAATAGCTCTAATAGAGGTCTGTTTGTAGTGTATTCGTTGCGTTCTAGAATGCATCTTTGAATATCTAAACTAATGGTTTATGCTTTCAGTAATGATACAGTTATATTATAACAAGCAAACAAGCGAGAAATATTCCATCCATATTGTTAGAAGGAAATGAAAATCCAGTAACCAGTTAGTGAAGTGAACCTTGTCAAGGACTGAAAAAAGGTTAAAGCCTCAGTTCCAGATCCAGATCTGTTACTTCTCGGAACCCATGTCCGCCCCCATTCAGCTGGCGCCCTCCATTGTTCTGTGCATCTTGACAGTATGCATTCGCAACACCTGAATCTCCAGCCCATGCTCCTGCTGATCCTGCTGCTGTCGCTGCTGTGGCTGCTGTTGCAGGTGTTGCTGGTTCAGGAGATTGCAGCTGCATCATCAAGGCACGCGCAAGCGTCTTCGTCTGCATTTCTGCTCCCTCCTTGATTTCTCCCTGACGAAGCAGGGCCTGTGCGGCCTGCAGCTGGGACAGCAGCTGCGCCTGAGCCTGTGTCTGCCCTTGCCCCACCATCTGCTCTATCTTGCTCACAATAGCAGATACAAGAGCACTGCGCAGCGCATGCTCCCCGGATAGTCCACACATGCCCTGCAATGTACCTGATGCTGCTGCTGATGACTCCGCACCCGCAGCAGGAATAAAGGACTGAAGCCTATACGACGGAGTGGAGGACTGGAGGTGGGATGAGCTGTATGAAATGCCAGGAGCAGGGGAACGGGCGGGAAACGCAGCAGCTGAAGCAACCTGGAGAGGAGGGGGGAGTGGAGGAGGAGAGGGAGCAAGGGAATGGGCAGAAGGGGTGCGGAAAGGGGGAGCGGCATAGGGAACAGGGCTTATGTGAGACGGGTGTGGGGAGATGGTTCTGGAGGTGGGGGTGGGCGCGCCGAGAAGAGACCGGAGGACGGTTTGGGAGGAGGCTTGGGCAGTCGAAATGTTGGGAGCACAAATATATTGAGTTTCAATAAGCTGCTGATGATTTGGATTCTGCTGCTGCAGCAGCTGTGGCGGCGGCGGCGGCGCCTGCTGCTGCCGGAATTGCAGCTGTAGCATCTCTTGTATTTGTTCCAGAAGTGACAGATGCTGTATCTGCTTCTGCTGATCTTGCTGATAGTCTTCCCTGTGCTCGTCTGGCTGCTTCCCTTCCTGGTACTGCCTCACCCCCTGCTGCTTCTGCAACGTCTGCTGCATCATTAGCTGCTGACTCGCTATAAGACTAAGCAGATCTCCGCTCGACCCCAGAGCAGAACCGGAACTCTGGGAAAATTGCGCGAGACTTTTCTTCTCTCCCCTCTCCAACGACTCTCGGGAAGCTTGGCACTTAGCTAAGTGCTGGGTCGCCTCTAATGCTGACATCTCTGTTCTCTTCCTCTTCTGCCTCCCCTCACGAAGAAGCTCAGAAATAGAGACATCCTCATGATCGGATCGGTTTCTGCCAATCTCTTCTTCGTGAAGCGTCAAAGCTTCAGCCGAGCCTAGAGTGGAGGCTCGGGCCTCCCCTCCTGCCGAACCTGGAACTGGCTCTGTCCTTTTCCCTGTCATCCTGCCCCTTCGCGGCGACTTCCCCTTCCTTTCCGAGGTGATCTTCCCACCGCCCTTCTCTCTTCTCCTGACAATCCCAGCTAGCATATTTTCCGCCCTCGCGCCGTTCTCGCCCCTAACATCTTTCACTTCCCCTTCCGCGTTGCTCCTCTCACGCGCGCCAGGCGAGTGCGCGCCTTCCGCCGGGCCGTCTGCCGCCGTCGCATCTGCCGTGAGAGGCTGCGCGTCCGACGCAGATGCCGCCGCGACAGCCATCGCAATTCTTTTCGACCGCTTAGACTTATAACCTCTTGCTATAGGGGACGTAACCGAGGGCTTAGCCCCCGCCGTCGCGTCTCCATCGCGCACTCCAGCCTGGTCTTGAACAGTCCAGCTTCCATCCGCTATTGCCGAGCCTAAGCGTTTGCTTCTGATCGAACCTGCACGCTCGGACATATCTGCCGCCGCAGGGTGTTCAAATGTCTCCGCCCTCAACCGTTTGATTCGATATGAACCGCCCTGTGGACTCGCATACAGCCGATCCGTACTGCCAAATACTGGCTCCCTTATTCTTCCCGCAACTGCCGCCGCCGCACCTTTCCCCTTGCGAACGGACCTGCTGCCTCGTGGCAAACCAGCGGCGTCGCCCAGTGGAAAATCGTTCACGACCTGAGAACCATGCAGACGTGTGCCGTGAGTGAAGTGGTCGTGGTCGTTGAACGAGTTCAGCGACGGAAAGCGTTTATCGCAAACGCCGCAGACGTAGGGGCCGCCACCCGTCGGTTTCACTTTGACGGAGCTCGCTACAGTCGGACTCAATAGTAACAGCAGATCTGCGGGTGTCAGGTTTCCCCACTTCACCTTGAACTGCGGGCTCCCAACGCCGCCGTCAATCGCGCTTTTCGCTTTCACATCCGCCTTCGGACTGCCGTCAGTGGGACTTTCTCCGCCAACAGACTTTCCGTCAACGCTTTTCCTCGAGATTAACGTCTTCATAGCAACGTTCGAGGTGTCTTGGCGTGGCGCTTTCCACGGAGATTTCTGTGAAACGTCAACGTCGTCGTTGACTTCCGCGTCGCCGTCTGCTGGACTGCCATGTCGAACGTCTGCTGACGGCGGCTGAACAGACGGTTTAGACAAACTGCTGACTGCTGCTTCCCCGGAGGCGGTTGCGGCGGCAGAGATATTGTATGGTCGTTGGCCGGCAGATTCGGGTCGCTGCTTACTCTCCTCGGGTTCTGCATGAAGCGCCGCATGCGGCGCCGCGTGAAGCGGCAATTCTTGGCTCGACGCTCGCACCAGCGCTTCGAACGCATCCATCCGTTCGGGTGACGTCATCAGGTAACTTGGCCCCGACGCGTCGCCTAATAACAGATCGGGAGGGTGACAAAAAGACGGCGACGCGGACCCGGTACCGTGCAGGAAAACGCCGGTGTCAGTCGATGCTAAAACAGAGCGGCTCGCACTGATTGCTTGCGGTAACGGCTTGATCGCTGAATGCTCAGAAACAATAGTAGTAGTGGTCTTCTCGACGTCGGGAGACGATGAGACTTGAGGTTCAATCACACGCTCGCTGCTGCCTGCTGAATGCTGAGAACTGAGACCGCTGCGGCTAGTAACACGGCTGCTGAGTAGCTCTTCAGATCGTGACTCTGAACGTGATGGGGATCGGGAACGGCGAGAATCAAGATTCGTGTTTATCCGACTTCTTGGAGGGTCAAGAGCTGGTCCAACCGTACGCGCCGAGATATCTTCCGACGAGGGTTTGGGATAATCTTGGAGGCGCGGCGGAAAGGTAGCGGCAAGCGGACACATATCGATGGCAGAGCATGCGCTCGGCCCGGTGGAACGAGTAAGCCTTACCACGTCCTACGGCCACACGATATGCAACGAGCGGATGAGATTGGAAGCGAGCGGATGGGGTTTGGGAGCAAGAAGGCAAGAATCTCGGAGTGCGAAAAGGTGTGAAAAGCGAGTTTACGTGTTCTCCCCGTCTTATCCACAACGAGAATCCCGTCGAGGTTTTGGAGTCCTCGGGGTTGCTGAGTCCATTTACAAGAACCTGGCTTCAGAACGTTTGGCGGAGTCTCCAAGTGAAGGCAGGTTCGTAAAGTCGCCTATTCCTCCAACATGGCGGGGTTTGAGCGATCGAGTGCGTAACGCTTCGCGAACGTGACAGCGACGGTTTTGCCTTTCTTCAGCCTCCCCGAGGTTGCATGCATGCAGAAACACGAGGCGAACGAAAGGGTGGACGATAATTGGTGCTCGGCTGATCTGGGGACGTCACTCAGGATTTCACAGAATGTAATCCTCAAGGAAACTAACTCTGTGATGAGATCGAGGATTTTCCTTCACCTGAGCTTCTCGAGAGAGATGACGTGACAAGAGCACCATGAGCAACTTGGGCGGCGAACGACCAATTGACGTGACGTGTGGGAATAAAAAGACGAAGCGAGCTCTCTTTCTCTATGCGCGGACCAGTCCTAGGAACATGTGACCACGGCAGGAGGGTGGACATGGGCTGGACAGTTGTCGAAAGAGCTGGCGAGGCGACTGCACCGTCTCACTTCCGACATGCCGACAGATTTTTCCATTGAACGTGGCGGGGGCTGTTGAGCCGAGGTGGTTGCGTTGGATTGCATTTGCGGCGCCTCGCGCTGACCTCAATGCTTCAAGGGTTGAAGGGGGGTAACAATTCAGCAGGAAGGTTGGGAGGCTGAAGGGGGATGACAATTCTAGGAGTTTCCTGAGACATGGGGGAGTGAAAGCTTGATCACGAAGAGAGCTTTGAATTCAGCTTTGTGGTGGGCGAGGGGACGGGGGTGGGTCAGTTGAATGAAACGGGCTTTCCCGACTTTCGTTCACTGCTGCATGGATGTCTTTTTTGTGGTGCCAAAGAAAACCTTGGCATGAAGAGCTGTCAGAAAATGTCCCACGCTGCGTGTGTATGCTGGCTTGACAACAATTGATTCGTCCTCCTCTCCCTCCACCCTCCCCTTCCCCGTACAATTCAATTGAATTTGCTCTTTTGCGTCTGACGAAGCCGTCGTCGATGTGTCGTGCGAAACCCCAGCGTTTATCTAAACCTGAGAGAAACGGTTACACTTAGCGGCGACCGCTCTTGTGGTTCAGCCACAAGCAGTCCTATTTCTGGGACCGATCAACTAAAATCCACTTGTCTCCCACACTTTCTTGTGCACAACGAGACAAAATGACGTACATGAATGTCATGGGTTGCAGAAGAGACAGAAGCGACACATTCACTGTTGTCCAGTCAATCGCGTTGACACTGGAAGGGCTCGCAGAGTGGCCCACATGCGTTCAGTGCACTCTTACAAAAAATCATATATGAACATGCAAAACACCACTGATAGGTGAACTTCTACCAATTAAACGCAAAATGCAAATGATTCACAATCCGTCTTAAATGTCACCAACAAATCTTGCTGTAGCTAAAAATGACACCCCCATACCGATCAATATAAGATTCAACAATTCTTATATGCACTTTGTAGGCTAGGTGCAGTTGTCCAATAAAATGTAGGCTTAGTTAGCCAACATCGGCCATTCTTTTAGTCGTTAAGATGGTATCATATTTGGTAAGGTTTCTCGCCTCTGCCCCCCAACCTCCCTAGCAACCCTCATGCCCTCACTGCCCCCTCGTGTGTCCCCACTAGCGTCTAGCGCCCCCCCGCCCCCCCTCCTCCCTCTCCTACTTCAACGCCTTCATGCCTTCTAACGGCCCTACTAGCTCCGCGTTGCGGCTTTCTCTAATGCCAAGTCACAACCCTCTCTGCCGCAACCCCTCGTGTCCTGCTGTCACCCTGCTGCGTGCCTACCGTTGCGCCCTACTGCTCTCGCACTACTGCTTCGTCCGCGCCGCTGCTGCCCCTGTCTGCCGCGCCTCCACACGTTTGTACCATCCACAGTGCAACCAGGGCCCTTGCTAGTCTCTGAACCCCCCCCCGAGGCGTCAGACGGGCCCTTCGGGCCCGTCTGACCGGTCATAATTTTTTCACGCCCCTGTCTTTCGCATCAGAAATTATAACATTACTTGGCTTAAAAATCAGATTTTGTAAACCGTCCCTACTATAACTACAACAACTACTACAGCTATTCTCTACAAAGAAAACATATCAAGAATAACTATCTAGCTATCTGAGTCAGAGTCAAATGCCTCATTAGCACTCAGTGTAACAGTTGCACGCAGATCCACTCCTCCATCCTCACTGTCGCTATCTACTACGTGAGTTTTGGCTTTCTTCCTCTTGGCTTCTCCGTCGTCATTGGACGGCGCCTTCTGAGCTGTTGTGTTAGGTGCTAGATCTTCCCTGTCTCCCTGCCTCCCTGCCGCTTGTCAGGCATATATGCTATAGTCTGTGTAGGCTATAGTGGGGCAGTTCATATGGGGTACAACACTTTAGGGTTTACTACTTGTACTCATTTTGCTCAATGCATCCATTCCTCGTTTCTTATCATGGTATCCAGCGGGTTCCCTAGTGGGAACGCTACCTAGGGCCCACCACGATATTTTTTTCCAACCCGGAGCGCGTATCACTCCTGCCCGAGTCGCGCTCTGTGTGCTCTCCCTACCTTCGCGCCGCCCTTAGTGGCCCCTCTCACGGCCCCGTTCGCCACCCTTACGGCCCCTAGCGCCGCCCTCTACGGCCCCTCGCGCCGCCCTTAAGGCCCCTTACGGCCCCTCGCGCTGCCCTTACGGCCCCTTCGGGCCCCTCACGCCGCCATTACGGCCCTCGCGCGGCCACCTTTCGGCCCCTCGCGGCGCCCTTTCCGGCACCTTACGGCCCCGTCGCCGCCCCGTTTATGCCCCTTGCGGCCCCTCTTCGGCTCCGTCTAGGCCCCTTGCGGCCCCCTCTGCGGCCCCGTCTAGGCCCATTGCGGCCCCTCTGCGGCCCACCTGCGGCCCCGTCGCCACCACTTGCGGCCCCGTCGCTGTCACCTGCGGCCCCGTCGCCGCCACCTGCGGCCCCATCACCGCCATCTGCGGCCCCGTCGCCACCCCCTGCGGCCCCGTCGCCGCCACCTACGGCCACGCAGCCGCCACCTGCGGCCCCGCCGCCACCTGCGGCCCCGTCGCCGCCACCGGCGGCCCCGTCGCCGTCACCTGCGGCCCCGTCACCCTCCCCTAGCGGCCCTGTAACCGCTCAACCGCCCAGCAACCGAGCCTCCGAGCAGCCCAACAGCCAAGCCGCCCACCTGCCGAGCAGCCGAGCCGCCCAGCAGCCGAGCCGCCCTGCCGCCGAGCCGCCGAGCCG